ATGTTAGGATAATACAAAAAAATAAAGTATTTTCCAAGTAAGTCAAATAATATTTACGTTATTAACTAGATTATTATAAAAACAAACAATACGCTTAAGGCATAAAATTTATTTCATATCATAAAAGGCTCACAATATTTACAACATCATATAAACGACCACTGATCTTAATTGACTTGTTGCGACTATAATGACCTTAAGCCATTTCCTAACGTTCTAAAACAATTGTTAAAGGCCTAACAACTGTTTCCAAATATTAGTTAATTCCATTTGAATTGTTATAAAAATTTAAGAAAATAAAAGAAACTAATTTCTTATCGGTTATATTTGTAGCTTTTTGCCGCTTGTGAGATTCTGATTATGACATTCTAGGGAAAACACAAGAAAACTAGAATCATAGAATAGAAAAACATTTTTGTTTTTTGTCAGATACTGGTAACCGTAATTGCAGAAAGAAAATAAAAATAACTCAACCAATTGACTTCGAACATAAATAATGTGCTTTCAAAATATTTTAAAATTTTAAATAAATTTTGATTCTAAATTCGGACACGTCACGATTCTATTTTTGACGGGGACCGACTCGGGTTCCGGCAAAAAATGAATGCGTATTACTGATAACTTTAATATTACATAAGACAACACCGTGTATTATTTGGAACCGGACGTTAAACATAAAAAACAATAACTATAAAGTTATGCCTACAAAATCACTAATCATAATTTTAAAAAAATAACGTCAATTAAAGGAATTATAAATTGTTGGTTTTAAATTACTGTTGTATGGTTTTAGTATGGAACAGAGTAAATAAAAAGTGCTAATTTATCTTCAGCTTTAAAGATAGTAATGAAGTAAATTAACAAGATAAAAATATTAAACAATACAAACTAAAAAAAAAGCATTATTAATTGTAGTATATACAGTCTACTTACCTTTTAACTATAGTTAGTTTTTACTTTTAACTTTTTTTTTTTTTTTTTTTTTTTTTTTTTTTTTTTTTTTTTGTTCTTTATTACAATATTTAATACAATATTTACAAATATATAATAAGAAAAATTTACATGCAAAAAAATCGTTACAAAAAAATAAAGAATTAAGATAAAGAACGCGGATACTCAAAGAAGACCATACAGGTCTTGTCATCGAGAACCGCTGTTGAAGAACTTTGATCTTAGTTTAGATTTTAGGAAAAACAAAAATAAATAAACACAAGTTTTAACTTTTTTAAGTTATGGTCTTTATGGCTGGAATTAAAGTACTAATTCTTCTGAACCGGATGATTCAAGCGAAAACAATAATATCATAGTATTCTTAATAAATAAATACGTCTCGCATCTGACTCGATCACTGATTCTTGTTACTCAAATCTATCAGTTACACTGATCTTAATTGTTAATTAATTAATAAATAAACGAAAATAATAAGAATATGATTGCACTAGGTACATCCAAATGCACTTCAAGATTGTCCAAAAGATTGTGTAGAAGAATTTAGATAGCCAAATGATGGTGTCATTGTGTGAGAAGCGATAATTATCAAATGTTGGTGCATTTACGTTAACGTTTTCGCCGACAAAAATGCTAAACCACTGTCAAAGGATGATTAACTTCCAAAAGTATCATACATACAATGTTTGCAGATACATCCAGTCACATACATCAATTTTTTTTTTGTTTTTTTTTTTTTTTTTTGTATTTTTTTTTTTTTTTGTTTTTTTTTTTAATTATATATATATATATATATATATATATATATATATATATATATATATATATATATATATATATATATATATATATATATATATATATATATATATATATATATATATATTGTATAAAAGTAAAATATAAATGAGTGTTGACAAAACTGGGTAAAATTAAAAGTATATAAATATATTTTCAATTGAGAATATTACTTTTTTTAGTTTTCGTTTGAACATATAATAATTCCATTCATGAGAAAAATCAAAATTTTTTAAAATTATTTGGTTCCATAAAAAAGTTCCACGAAAAGAAATGCAAAATTTACCAAAGTTTGTTTGAAATTTTGGTTGTTTAATAAAATTATCATTTCTTAAAGAATATTTGTTTTTTTCTTTTAAAGAATATAAATCAAAAAAGGAAGCTGGAGAAGAGTACTTCACTTTGCAAATACGACTGGTTTGACATCATGCAACAATCGTCACTTATCCGCGCACTCGTCTAGAGCATATTTAACATACATACATTTTAAAATACCATTGCATGGTAATTAAGAGAAATTATGCATTACACTATTTTAATTGTAATTTAATTTAACTTGCAAATAACACGAAGTTTCTAATTTAAATATATTGATATAATATAGACTTTGATGATGTCTGTCTGGCACAATCGATACCTGTGCAGATACTGTCTCTAAAATAACTGTTGATTAGTTCACAGTAGGTACAAATAGTTAGAAAAGTTCTTCATTACATATAATTTGAAATGATCTTTATACTGTAGACTAAACGAAGATAAATTTTTGTCTTCTTTAATTAAATTTGATCATTTCAAATGACCGGTATTTAAATTTTTTTTTTTTACTGATTTAGAGAAATACGCAACAGAGTTTTTTTTTTCAAAATTTAACCACGGTTTTGTCAATATTAATTTTAAATTATAGTAAGTAAATTATAGTAATATAACAAAGTTATATTCAAAAAAAAAAAAAAAAAAGAGCTGAGGTTTTTTAAATCTGATTTCGGTTTAACTAAACTACGTAAGAAGTAAAGACCCCAGGAAGTCATGAATTAGTGAATATACATAGAGATGCAAAATTCTCAACACAGAAGAGCCAAGCAAAAACTAAGAAAGATATTAATAATCATGAGTCAGCCCAGGTAAAAAAATGAAAACAGAGCTTAATTTTATGATCAGGAAAACTATTGATGGAATAAAAATCTTACCTTAATGTGATGTTTCTTTTTTTCAAATGACTAATGCTGCAGCATTTCAGCTGTCACAGAGCCCTTTGATATAACTTTTAACTAAATTCTTTCGGGTATATTTTGAGAAGTTATGTGGAAGGCTCTTGCCAACTTTTAAAAAAAGATTGAGAACATCTTCGTTTAACTGTGTTTTAGCTTGCCTCAAGTTTTTGGATTGGTAAGACTGCAGGTATGGATACTCAAAAATTAAATCTTCAAGCACTTTGGCAGTGCTTGAAGATTTAATTTTTGAGTATCTTAAAGTTAGAACGGCAACAAACACACTAGTTAAGACTTTTGGACCATTTAAATTGCTTCAAAAATTGTTTTGCTTTTCAAATCACAAAGCTAAGTAGCTTTGTGATTTGAAAACGTCTACTTATGTGGAGACATACAAAAAAAATAATCGAGTGGGTCAGAAGCCAAGGGGTACAAGTGACATTTTCATAGTTTTGAGATACAGCTGTTTAAAGTAAAAGTATTTTTGTTAAATATACTCAGCTGTTGTTATGTTTTTCCAGTAGAAAGCAGCACAGGGCAGAGATTCACTTGTATCCCTTGGCCACCAACAATTTTGTTTTCTTCTTTTATCAAATTCTATACTTAACTTAATTTTGGTAAAATTTTCACTTGTACCCCTTGGCTTCTGACCCACTCAATCTTCTTGTTCTCCTTGTATTTTTTAGCGTATTTAAGTAAAATTTTGCATTTTTTCAAATGCTAAGCTCATTCAAGTATTTATTTTACAAACGAAGGTGAAATTATTTTGCGGAAGTTATATTTCATAAAGGCATAATTTTCAATGTATTACAAACCATTATTTTTAATACCGTTTTTTACCACAGAAAGTATAAAATTATACCTTACTAAGAATATATCACATAACCTACCCTAAGGTAGTTATGTGATATATTCTTTTCTATAACAAAAGTTAGTTTATCTATATATGATATAAGGTAAACTAACCTTTGGGTAGTATAACTTAATTAGAAACGTAAATTGACACACTTTATTTTAATTCGTTATATAGAACTTTATTCTTTAAACATTTTCTTTTATTAATTTAAAAATCAAAATGATTATTTCGGTTTGAACTTTTTTTGGACTTTCCTTTTTACATACACCCTGATTAAAATTCTTATCAAGTTTTATTATTTTATAAACTGTTATCAGGAAAGTAACAACCAGTATACATCAATATATATCAATGGACATTTCCAGTCAAATATGGAAAATAAAATTCGGACTTCCCTTTCAACATTCGCCCCTCCTTAATTTGTGTTTTATTAAAACATGGCAGTTGATTAGTTCAAAATGTTGTTTAAGTTGCGAGTTTATCTAGCACTTACCGAAATATAGATTTACCAGAAAAATGGTAGTCCATTGGAAAAAAACATTTCCTTTAAAGTTAGGTAACCAAATATTATATCGATGGTGTAGAATTTTTGGTATCATGATATTTTTGGATCATTTTTGGTATCATGATATGCTTTGGTATCATGATATGATTTTGGTATCATGAGCTTTGGATACAAGAAATTAAGACAGAGAGTTATAACAAGAAGAAGCTGTTTATAATTGTATCGATATAAACTAGTCTTTGTTATTTGGTTTTTTTGGACAATCAAGTCAATCAATCAAGCATTTGTGACAAAGAAATAAAATGTTTATATCCCAATTTTGGGATATTACTAAGTATAACTTACTAAGTATAAATAATTATTTAGCTAAATTTTTTAACCCGTATGAAAATTATGAGTATTATTATCCTCTTTGTTTTTAAAGAGCCTTACTTCTTAAGTTATGAAAGATTTTTAAATGATTTTTCTGCCCTTTTCTTCACAGTCATTACGTTTTTTAGTACTAAAAATTTCAATATAAACATGAAGGATAAATTTGTTTATTCAGTGTTTGAATAAAAGCCATTATTGATTTTTCTTTGGATATTATGAATTGTGAAATCATGGCATGATCACTTTACAAACCTTTTTTTATTCTTGTGGTTTTTTGTCTGAAAGAATGTCTTTAAATATCAATAGAACATTCAATCGTGCAACCTCTGTAACTGCTTCTTTTACTGAAGTTAATAACAAATTTTAATTTTATTGTTGCACTGTGTAAAACAAAACATGATTTTAATAAAACTCTTACTCATCTTACTCAAGCATTAAAAGATTTTGTCTCTTAACGCCTTTAAATATGCTTTGAACAAGCCTAAATATTGTATTTCAAGTTACTTTTAATTGGTTATTACAGTTTTTTTAGCTAGACTATCTGAGTACTAAGTTTAACACAATGCTTGATGATACAACTTTAAAGTGTTATAAAGCACCTGTCTTTTAGTCTCTTCATTCTAATCTTTAGTTTCTTCAAAAAGTAATTACAGAAATCCAGTGTCTTTGTTATACTAGTCGGAACTACAACATCATAAGTGACATCATATCTTTAAGTGCTTTTTATTTGAGATTTGTTTGCTAAGTTTTCCTATTATGAAAAACAACGATATAAAATGATGAATTTGCAATCAAATATTCTAAAAAAATTCTACTATATTGAGATTACTTAAAACCACCTTCTTTACCTGTTGATTTGGGAAGTTGAACTTTTCACCGTTAGCTGCTCAAACACATTAATAACAATTAAACTTTTCCACAAAATAGTTTTCGTTACAAATTTGTTTTGAGACAAGCTTTTTTTTATTTTATTTTATTTTTAAATTTTTTTAAATTAACCTAATATAAAATACGCTCAAACTAAATGCATAAAAATTTAACGCTAAAAAATTATAATTTATGCTTTGACTTAACTTTGTAGCCTGTTATATGCATTTTAATCATTCACTTATAATAATAAAGTTTTTTTTTGGCGATATAAATGAATGTAAAGGTATATAAATTGAAACAAAAGTTGTGTTAATGTAATCTCTATATTTATTCAGAAAAAAAAATTAATTACTTAGGTTTAAGAATAATTCCAAATTAAGATAAGACTTTTTGAAATAAAAAAGTAAAAATTAATAAATTGTCAGACTTAGATTTTTAGTCGATGAGTTTTGAAAATATATTAAGTCATGCTTTTAACATTTAGATAAATGAGGCAGAAAATCGCAGTTTTTTATTTACTAAAATATCTTTATCTTGTTTTTATCATTTTTAGTATCAGCGGTTTAATAATTTTAAAAAATGTTCAAATGATGACTACTAAGTAAAACTTTATATGTTGTTGGTACTAAATGACCATGAAGAACCAAAAGGATCGAGGCTAAATGCCAGCTCTATCCAGATAAGCAACAACGTTAAGGAAAAAAATGTGAAATTTCTATTTACCCAGTAAACACAGAAACGTTTAGAATAGATCAATATTTAGTTGATATTGATCGAAAGTTGGATAAAAATTTTACTGATTATTGATCAAAAAGATATGGTTGATTTAGATCCACGTTTCACGTTGGTTAAACGTTGATTAAACGTTGATTAAACGTTAACAATAATGACTAAAATAATCCGTTCTTTTAAACATTTAGTGAACGTTTAATAAAAGTATAGATAATTAAAATAAAAAGCGTACATTAAAAAAAACTATTGATTAATACGTTTATTAAACGTCGATTCACTGTTTACAATATTGAATAATATATTTCAATTTTGTAAACGTTTAATAGAGTTGTAATAAATTCATATGTTAAAAGTATTCAAGCGTATATTTCAAATCCTTCATTTATACGTTTATTTAATGTCGGTTAAACGTTTTCAATATTTATAATACTTAATGTCATAGACCAATAATGGTCTATGACATTAAATCCATTTAATATACATGTTTGTTTAGCGTTGATTAAATAATCAACGCTTAACAAACATGTACATTAAAAGGATTCAAGCGCATGCCAAACTTTACATAAAACTATATATATATATATATATATATATATATATATATATATATATATATATATATATATATATATATATATATATATATATATATATATATATATATATATATATATATATATATATATATATATATATATATATATATATATATATATATATATATATATATATACATATATATATATATATATATATATATATATATATATATATATATATATATATATATGTTGTGCCGAATTAACGTAATCGGCAGCTATTATATCAATGTTTCATATCAATTAATGTTCAGATTTTCAACAAATGACACACATGATTTTAAGGCAACAAAATTTTATAAAATTTTCAGTTATGTGCATAATTAACTAACATTTTAGAATGATACTTTTTTACATGCAACAACGAAAAAAAACCATAACTTTCGAAAGCATAAAAATGACTTAAGTAAATTTTTATTTAAATTTTTGAATAATTTTAGTTACTAAATTAAAGTTTAGAACTAAAATTAAAATTTCAGTACTAAAGGTATGTTTTAAATAAACTTTCATGTGTAATGTTCAATTAAATTAAATTCATTTGTTAAAAATTGTAACTGCTAAGTAAGATTAAGAAACGATAAATAGTAATAAATAGTAATAGAAGCAATTCAAAACGTACATATACATATTAAACATTTATTAAACTAAATTTAGATACTTAATATATATGTTTAAAAAGACAATCTAAAGACGGTGAAAAAACGTTTGAATGTTAACGTTTAATAGAGGTTTTGTTTTAAACGTTAATCTGGATTTCATTCTGAACGGATAGTCGCCCAAAACTAAACCATTTGTTTAGAAGTTGTTTCGCCGTTTTATAGAGGTTCATGTGCTTATTTGATAAATGCTCTTCCACGGAGCTCTGTTAAAAGACTGAAAGGACTTCTTGGAGCACCTCATTAACCACATTAAAAAAAAATAAAAAAGTTTAAGGAAAAGTCAATAACTTAAATAGCGACTAAAATCGTACTAACTTTACTTTTGTTTATTGAAAATATTTTAAAAATTAAAGTCGCGGTCAAGTTCAAATTACAATTTGTGGCATAGTATTACCTAAGTGACCAAAATACAAACAAATGCAGTCGCTAATAACAACGACTATTTGTTAATAGCACCAAAATCAATTTGAAGTAAAAATTTACCCGTCTTTTTGAATTAATAATGTAGCTTTTAATAAAACATACATGACTTTAAGTTAGCATACAATTCAAATAACTCTATTCATAATATATTGTGTCAGAGTATTATAAATTATACGAAACAATTTGTAATTTGAGTGAGATGCATATTGCTTATTTATGCATATGCGTATTGATAAGTTTATGTGCTATGCATGAATATTGCGTAATTTATATGCGATATGCGTCTGAGAGAAAAGGAACTATTATGATATAAATATATATATTTTTTCTTTTGCTTTGTCTTAAAAAGGTCGTTAGCATGTGGTTAAATTACTACTCTTGGGTAAATATTTTTGTACGTTTTTTTTTTTTTTTTTCTTAATATTTTCTTATATTTTACATTATTGCTATATCATATAAAATTTTATTGATTTTTATGTTTGTATTGCAAATGACATAATAAACAAGAGAATACTCATTCTAATTTGAGATAAAACCCAATAAATCTAACAATTATAATAATTTAAAACTTTAAATTATTTAAAAAAAAAAACAAAAAAAAAAACTAGTTTTCCTTAACGAAGTGAGTGACGTTTTTTGAGAATATTTTTGTTCGTTTACTTTAATTGCTGTAACCGAAACATTACATTTAAAAAAAAAAAAAAAAAAAAGGTTTTACTCTTATCAAATTAATTTAATCTTTAAAATCTTTTTACAATCTCATTAAACTGTATTTACCAACCACAACTCCTATATTTTCATCTTAATGGGGGTTTTCGCAGACATAATTAACTTTTTCAAGTGTTTGGTTTAGATTTTTAGGCAGAATTTTGGATGTTTGTCTTGGTTTAAAACCAACAGGTTTTTCTGTTTATTAGTATAACTAATAACATGTGATAACTAAAAATCTGGACAAAGTTTGAGCAAATATTAAAATATGAAGGAATGATTTAATATACTTGCAATCACTTCTATTTTGTTACAAATTTAATTCTTTAATCGTATTATTAAAAAAAAAATTATTTAGTAATTAAAAATGAAAAAAAAGACTTGTAACGACGACTCCCTTAGAAAATGAGTGTACGCATTTTTGCATTTGCATCCAGATAAGAATAAAAGCTTTATTGTAAATCATTTTCAATTGAAGAACATACCAATATCTACTATTTATAATATACTTTAAAGAAAGGAAAATATTATAGGACAAGAAAGAAAAGTTGAAAGTGGTCGCAAAGCAAAAAAGATGTCTGCAAAAGAGGTAAAACGTCTTAAAAAATCGATTGATCAAATGGATGGTATTTCCCAGCGTGATCTTGCAAGATGATACCATGTATCACAATCGTACATATACAAAATTATTCACTTAAAAACTAGTATTCGTAATTTAAAAAAAAATAAAACACCTAAAAGAACACCGACTTAAAAAGCAGCCGTTCGTTTAAAGTGCCATAGATTGGTTTCGATTTTTAGGAAAAAAGTAGTTATTACTGACAATGAATCGTATTTTTATTTGAGCAACACAATATTTCTGGAAATGCTGGATTATATTCTTCTGACATAAATACAGAATCAAATGATGTAAAGTTAAAAGGAAAAGACAAATTTGAGTCAAAATTACTTGTTTGGATTGCATTCTCGACGAAAGAAATCTCTCAACAGTACATTGGGCCGTCAGATCAAGCAGTCAATGAAGATGTGTATATTTCAAAATGTCTTGTTAGATTAGAAAAGTTCATTGAAAAACATCTTTTGGCCTGATCTAGCTTCGTCACATTATTCACCTAAAATGCAAGGTTATCTAAAAGCTAAAAATATTAAATATGTATTGAAAAGAGCATAACCCTGCTAATGTGCCAGAATTACGTACAATAGGAGATTTTTGGTATGAACTTAAGAGATTAGTGTATAATAAAAATTGGCAAGCTGAAAATCTTGGTAAACTTAAAAAGCAGATCTAGTTTCCAATAAAGAAAATCAACATAGAACGTGTATATTGGTTAGCTGCCGCAACATTTACAAGAGTAAATACTGTTCATCGTCATAGCATGAAAAACTATTTTTATATTTTATTATTTAAATATTTTATGTTATTATACTTTTTAAATTATTAAAATTGATCATTCCGTTAAAAAGTTATACAACTTATTATTTTGTCCAGATTTTTAGTTATCACATGTTTTTATACTTTAATTCAAGTGAAATATTTTTTTCAAATACATCATGAACATTAATTTTTAAACAAAACATAAACTTCATAAACTTATATAAATATATTAAAAAAATATATAATTTTTAACTTTACGATTCAGCAACTAAATATTCGAAAAAGACATTTATAAATATTAAATTTGATAGTTCAAAAATAAATATATATATATATATCTTTTTCAATATCACATTATTATTTACCTTGTCAATTTATAGACAAAATTTTCGTAAAAAAAAGTAGAATATTCATTAAAAATAATGTTATTTATAATAAGGTTGTAACTCCGATAAAAAAATTGCCTTAGTGTAGGTATTGTTATAACAACGATGTAACCGGTGAAAAATAACTTTAGTGTAACCAACGTTATTATAAAGTTGTAATTCTGGTGAAAAATAACATTATTGCAACAAACGTTATTATAACGTTGTAATTCTTATGAAAAATAACGTTAGTATAACGAACGTTATTTCAACATTGCCATTCTGATGAAAAATAAAGTTA